AAAAAAACAAATATTTTTATTGAAACTGCTCAGTAATTAAATCGTACGTATTGTAACTAATAGAGCCAGGCTTCTCCAGAAATCTCAATGACATGTTCTTCCGTAAATTAGAAAGAACCTGAATACCGACTGGTTTAATGACGCCCCTGGCATTACCAATGTTCAAGAGCGACAGTTATCACGTAGACTGGTGGTAGGGCGTCTTGTGAGTCCGCACGGGTAGGTACCACCGCCCTGCCTATTTCTGCCGCGAAGCAGCAATGCGTTTCGGTTTGAAAGGTGGGCAGCCGTTGTAACTATATTTGAGACCTTAGAACTTATATCTCAAGGTGGGTAGCGCATTTACGTCGTAGATGTCTATGGCTCCAGTAACCACCTAACACCAGGTGGGCTGTGAGCTTGCCCACCCATCTAAGCAATAAAAAATAATAATAATAAATGTTCTTAAGTCTGCACCAAGTTTATAGTTTTCAAAATGTTATGTTAGTGAATGCCATATATCTTATATAATGTGTCCTATGGAAGGAATCTTCGATCAGAGCTTGTAGAGAGCTACTTTGCATGCCCAGCTTAAGATAAATCTCTTAGTTCAGAAAAGTAACATCTAGAACAGATTTCCAGTGGGTTGTAGAAAAAATTTTTATGAAAGTTCATTCACCTGTTGATAAGTACTTAACAACTTTAATAGCATGCTTATACAATCCTCGTCTGCACAAGGCTAAACTAAATAAAACTGATGAACTGAATGAAAATAAGTTGAATTAAACCATAAATTTAAATCGCTGTCACTCATGACTATGTGAGAGGGCGCGAGCTGGCAGTCTCCCAACATTGACCGTCGGTTTCCACCAGTGACCGGTTCCTCCGTGACTCTATTGATTATTCATCTGTATTTTAAGAATTTCACCTACAAAATCGGTCACGGTTTATTACAGGAATAATTACATAAATTTTACAATTTTGTGAAAAGTGCATTTTCAAATTTGTGAAAAGTGCTTCCTCTAAATTGCCAGTTTTTTGGACATTGCATCGATGCTATTATTGAGTAAAATGTAGAGACTCAAAATGTTTCCTAGAATGTTGGACAGAATTGACTACTAAAATCAGAGAAATCTGCATATTACTTTGTTAGCTTTACTATAGACTAGAGTCAATAATTTCAGTCGAGTTCTCGGTGGTAAAGTTAAATTATTGATTACTTTTATTAAATGGTAGGAAATATTCATAGATAGAGCTGGGATTTAAAATTGAAGGGTTGGTAATTGTTAATTTAGTTTTAACATAGTTTTTGTTTTGAAATAAATATTGCAACCACAGTGGTGGTTAATAAATGCCTCCTTGAATGACCTTCTTTAAGGGTGTAGTTTAAATAAGTTGGTTTCTTGAGACAACAACAATGTTCATAAACAGACGGTCAGCCATTATTTCATAAGCGTATGCTCACACTCCACACATAAACCTTTAGAAACAGATTGCATTAACCTGCCTTGAACCAATGGACGTATTGATCTAAGCATTAGTTCAAAATGGGTAGAGACCTTTGCAGTCACGTCCCCACATCAAACAATTCTGCTTCCTACCACTATTAATACCTGCTTTATACGGTGGTAAGACGTGTAACAATCCTTACCATTATCCTTACCTATTCCTGACTAGAACAGTACGATAATACCCATAACCTCAATTTAGTCGCCGGAATTTTCCGCTGCTAACATCAGGTACAGCACTGACCTCATCTAGTCATAATGTAAAATAAAACGAAGATGTAATTTAGAAATTTGAGTGGTGGTAGGTGGTACTGGTGTTACTGGTGGTAGGACCTCTTGTGAGTCCGCACGGGTAGGTACCACCATCCTGTCTATTTCTGCCGTGAAGCAGTAATGCGTTTCGGTTTGAAGGGTGGGGCAGCCGTTGTAACTGTACTGAGACCTCAGAACTTATATCTCAAGGTGAGTGACGCGTTTACGTTGTAGATGGCTATGGGCTCCAGTAACCACTTAACACCAGGTGGGCTGTGAGCTCGTCCACCCATCTAAGCAATAAAAAAAATACATTTCAAAGAAGCCAGAGATGATTGAATAACCTCGTCTTTATTTTATAGCGTCAGTCGAATCAAACGAGACCTTGGTGTCGGGAGCCGGGCTGCAAACGGAAACATTAAACTTTCTTTATTACGCGCTCAGTGTGAACCGAGCGCGGAGCCAGAGAAACCGGCCGACTGAACCGCGTGGGAAGCGTATTGTTTAGCTGGCCTTGTGTACGCCGGACCTAAACAACGACTCGCGTTATTACATTACGGGTATATATAGACGGAAAGCACCTTGAGTTCTGACTAAACTATTACTCCAGCTCACACTACGCCTGTGTGTACACATCGCGCACATCGCGCTGAGCTCCCACCCGCTACCATTCAGCTCTGTGCTCCAGCACACCGCGCGTCACACACTGCGCTTGTCTATACATGGTCTCACGACACTCGCTCCTGAGCTCTCATCCACCCGCTACCGTTCAGCTCTGTGCTCCAGCACACCGCGCGTCACACACTGCGCTTGTCTGTACATGGTCTCACGACACTCGCTCCTGAGCTCTCATCCACCCGCTACCGTTCAGCTCTGTGCTCCAGCACACCGCGCATCACACACTGCGCTTGTCTGTACGTGGTCTCACGACACTCGATCCTGAGCTCTAATCCACCTGCTACCGTTCAGCTCTGTGCTCCAGCACACCGCGCATCACACACTGCGCTTGTCTGTACGTGGTCTCACGACACTCGCTCCTGAGCTCTCATCCACCCGCTACCATTCAACTCTGTGCTCCAGCACACCGCGTGTTACACACTGCGCTTGTCTGTACTTGGTCTCACGACACTCGCTCCTGAGCTCTCATCCACCCGCTACCATTCAGCTCTGTGCTTCAGCACACCGCGCGTCACACACTGCGCTTGTCTGTACGTGGTCTCACGACACTCGCTCCTGAGCTCTCATCCACCCGCTACCATTCAGCTCTGTGCTCCAGCACACCGCGCGTCACACACTGCGCTTGTCTGTACTTGGTATCACGACACTCGCTCCTGAGCTCTCATCCACCCGCTACCATTCAGCTCTGTGCTCCAGCACACCGCGCGTCACACACTGCGCTTGTCTGTACGTGGTCTCACGACACTCGCTCCTGAGCTCTCATCCACCCGCTACCATTCAGCTCTGTGCTCCAGCACACCGCGCGTCTGACACTGCGCTTGTCTGTACGTGGTCTCACGACACTCGCTCCAGAGCTCTCATCCACCCGCTACCATTCAGCTCTGTGCTCCAGCACACCGCGCGTCTGACACTGCGCTTGTCTGTACGTGGTCTCACGACACTCGCTCCCGAGCTCTCATCCACCCGCTACCATTCAGCTCTGTTCTCCAGCACACCGCGCGTCACACACTGCGCTTGTCTGTACGCGGACTCACGACACTCGCTCCTGAGCTCTCATCCACCCGCTACCATTCAGCTCTGTGCTATACACTACTACACTTGTCTTAATGCGTGTCCTATACGCGAGGTCGATAGACCTCTTCATTGAAGGTATTATCTAAATGATGCTTAATACGTCGCTTTAAGCCTATTTAAAGCTTCGCCAAGCACATTACCAGACTTAAGTGAAGACATCAATTTTAAAATAATTCAGTGTAAGCCCTCAAGGGTTGTCACAATAAAGGGGAGGATTAATTATAACGAGACGAGTGCAGGGACCGTGTCATTACTGTGCGATTGTTTTAAAGATCTTGTTTAGGGTACACTGAACATGATTAATCACTTACAGATTCCACCGAGAGAGCCTAGTCAGAATATTGAATAATGAATACCATACGATTTTAGCGAAGTTGAACTGTCCTGTTCTGTTTGAAGAGTCTATGATCACATTGTGCTAAAAGAACAGTACAGTAAGGAATGCTGCCCCGTGTGGTGCAGTAGACCAGCGCGGTACGACGTGTGGTCAAGTGGTGTGGTAGACCAGCACTCTACCACAACGAGCAGCTCTGTGCACTTTACACCATGTAGAGAACAGTAAAGTAATTGTAGAAGAGAACCAAGCATTAAAAACGTCATGTGTTTACGAAAATCGAACTCGCTTCATACATTATTCATGTTGACAGTCCGTAGATCGTCGTACTCTAGTCTCCAAGTACTTATAAAATTTCATGGAACAACCCCCGAAATAAATTGACTTCAATCCATCTCGACGAAATTTAATTTAGGATCAGATTTTCGGTACAAGAGTTATCTAAATAGGTGATTCGTTTAGAAAATTACTTTTACTAGAGGTCCCGCAGCAAGTCGGAATTCGACTATAATTAATTGGAATTGTAAGTTTGTACACTATTATGATTGTATTTTATACTTCTATAATCACAAATTTCGCCAAGACTACACTATAAAAAATATTAACAAAGACAAACAATATTTAATCTATTCTCAATTTGACAACAGACGTCAAGAACAAAAGTTTGACAATAAATAGTATGCATGCGTGTCGGCGTCAAATACATGGTATGTAGTGTGTGTAATGTTTTCTTTATTGATTTAATGTATCTTTTATGCATTACTTTAAAAAATATTAGCATTGTGCACTTCTTCTCTATATTCTCTATAAGTGTGGAAAATTTTATACCCCTCCGTCCGCGCAATTTTCGTAAAAAGGGATACAAAGTTTTTGCTTCACGTATTAATATATAGATTCGACAAAAATAAATTTATACAGACCACTTGTTTTACTTAATAAGCTTCGCTCGAGCTTTGATCGCTATTAGTGTTCATCGATGTCGCGAGAGTCGGATTGTAGGTGATCCGAATTAAACACTAATTGCTTTTTGATTCGATGATTCTTTGTAAAAGTTTTAATGTCTCACCAGATGAAGAAATATAACGATAACTAGTTGTTCTTTGCTGGATGTCTTGTTCTCTTCAATGAAACGATTTGGCTCGTATTTACAGGTTTATTAAAGATAAACCACTGAAGAACAAATAATAATGTGGTTATATATTGGAGTAGATAATGTATAGTATGTAATCGTTAAAATGTATATGCATGCGTTCGCGATCGCTCGATGAAGTGAAGCTCGGTGGTGGGCGAGAATAAAACTTGTTTGGAGGGGGATTTAGAGATCCTTAACATCCTCCGGGGCCTTGGAAGCATTTGCTTCCAATGAAGAATCTTCTGCAGTATCCAATAGAGGACAAAGATATCGAAGTCCACGCCGATAAACGCCAGTCGAAGTTTTGATTTCGGCTACTCGCACGATATTGTCCTTTCCTGGAAATAGGTTGATGACTCGACCCGTCCGCCATTGCATCGGTGGAATATTCTCGTCCTTCAGTAGAACTAAGTCACCATTCTGGATTGATCTTGCTGGTACGCGCCATTTGTGTCTTTGCTGTAATTCGTTCAAGTACTCTAGCTGCCATCGATTCCAAAAATGTTGACGAATCTGCTCCAAGTGTTGGTATCGGTTCAATCTAGAGGTACTAAGTTGCATGTAGTTAGGTGATGGCAACGACGTCAAAGGTCTTCCAATGAGGAAGTGTCCGGGAGTCAGAGGAGCAAGGTCATCAGGAGAGGAAGATAAGGGACATAAAGGCCTGCTATTGAGTATGGCTTCGATTTGATTAAACAAAGTAGCTAATTCTTCAAATGTGCAGTGAGTGTTATCGAGAATTCTTTTCAAATGAAATTTGGCTGATTTGACTGACGCCTCCCATAGACCCCCGAAGTGTGGTGCATATGCCGGTTGAAATTTAAAATCAATCCCTTCACTAGAAAGGAATCCACCGACGCCATCAGCATGAGAGTTCACAAATTCTGTAATTTCTTTGGATGCAGATACGAAGTTTCTGCCATTATCGCAGAAAATCTCCTTCGGCTTACCTCGGCGAGAGATAAAACGACGCAACGATAATATGAATGCCTCTTTGGTGAGGTCGCTTACGGCTTCTAAATGCAAACATTTGTATCTGAGGCAGACAAAAACGCACATATAACATTTCGATATCTTACACCCTCTACCCTTCCTATCAGTTATTAAGAAAGGTCCACAAAAATCAATACCAGCACTTATAAAGGGGAAGTCAGGATCAACGCGTTGACTGGGTAATGCGCCCATCATAGGTGCAAGCATCTTAGCACTTGCCCGCCTGCATACAATGCATTGTCTCACAGTAGCACGTGCCAGATCTCTGCCCGCTATGGGCCAGACGAACTCTCTGACAGTGGACAGTAGTAACTGTGGGCCAGCGTGCAGAAGACGTAAATGTTCTTGCTGGAACAATAGTTTTGTCAATTTATGCTTCGCATGTAGTAGCATAGGATGACGTTTGTCGTAAATCTGACAAGAATAGTTTAAACGACCACCTACACGTAATATACCCTTATCATCAATAAACGGGCTTAAGGAAATTAAAGGATTGTTCGGACTCAGCACGCCTTTATTATCGATTGTGGCTAGTTCAGTACTAAAACTATCCTTCTGAGCTAATCTCACTAAAGTTTCAAATGAATTGATGAGCTCATCAGGCTGCAATATACCATTCTTTTTATTGGGTTTGTTTCTGCAATTTAAAACGAATCTTAAAATATATGCACAAGCTCTTTGCAATATGCGCAAATTAGAATACCTATCAAAATGTATTAATGTCTGTATCATGTTTTTAGATGTGTTCACTAAATTAATCTTTATTTCCGGCAAATCATCAGTGGGATGGCGGTGGTTAAACAATGCTGGCCACTCATTCTTGCTTTCTTTCAAGAACTTTGGGCCGTTCCACCAAAGATCCATCTGAGGAGGTGCAGACACATCCAAACCACGTGAAGCTAAATCTGCAGGATTACACGACGTTGGCACATGACGCCACTCAGAAATGTCAGTCGATTCCAAAATGGTACCTACCCTGTTTGCCACAAAGGTTTTCAGTCTATCACATCTCATACTCAACCAGGTCAGCACAATAGATGAGTCAGTCCAAAATATTTTGTGGGAAATTGCGCATCGCAATGCGCGACACACAGCACTCACCAACTGTGCGCCCAGGACGCACGCGCATAGCTCGAGTCTTGGAATAGTCATCGGATTCACAGAAGCTACTCGAGCTTTGGAACATAACAAGCGTACGCGCACGTTGCCTTGCGCGTCGTGAGATCTGAGATAAATGCATGCTGCGTATGCAGACTGCGAAGCATCGCAGAAGCAATGCAGCTCTGTGTTAATCGACTCGGGACATAAGACATGTCTAGGAATTCGCAAGTGTTGGATTTCAGACACGCTGCAAAGAAATGATTGCCAGGCTCTACTTATGTCGGCGGGAACAGGTTCATCCCAATCGATTTTAGTCAGCCAAAGTCTTTGCAGTATGATTTTAGGTTTAATTGTGAATAAACTCAGCAATCCAAGAGGATCGAAAACTTTACATGAATCTGATAAAATTGATCTTTTGGTAGGAATATTTTTTGTAATTTTGTAATTGCTAGGAAAGCTAATGTAATCTTCGTTGGGGTTCCAACCTATCCCTAAGGTATGTGACGATGAACTAATTATGAGTTCACGTTGAACAGACTGCGGCTCGATCAAGAGAGATGGTATATTGGAACGGTACTTACGTAGATTGAAACAGCCGGCTGCTAATGTACTCTCTACGGTTTTTTTAATATAATGTAGCTCAGTCTCACTGTCACTTCCGGTGAGCATGTCGTCCACCAGGAAGTCGTTCTGAATAATATTTTTAATTTTAGGTTCACAAGAGTCCTCGCCCAACTGCCACAGACAACGTGTGCTCAGGAAACTTGAACTAGAAAGGCCATAGGTAACTGTATTGAGCCGCAGTGATCTCAGTGCCTCCGTACTTGTATCACGCCAAAGTATCATTTGCAAATCGCGGTCATTGTTTTGTATTTGTACTTGTCGGTACATCTTTTCTATATCAGCTGATATTACGTAGGTGTATTGACGAAATCGAAGCAAAATGTTAAAAAGTTTATCTTGTATATTTGGGCCAACCATTAATAAATCGTTTATGGAAAATCCAGATGTTGTCTTCGCACTACCATTAAATACGACGCGCAGCTTGGTTGATTCGCTAGATGGTTTCAGTACCGCGTGGTGAGGTATAAAATAAGATTGCCGAGGAATCAATATCTCCGACTCAGACAAGTGGCCTAGCACAGAGTATTCATGTATAAACTGCGAATATAAATTTTTAAGGTCACTGTTTTTTGACAAACGTCTCTCCAATGACAAGAACTGGTTTCTAGCTAGTGTGAATGAGTCGCCTAAGCAAGTGGGCTCTGAAACTAATGGCAATCTCACACAAAACCTGCCTTCGTCATTACGATATGTGTTAGCAACGTAATGATTTTCACATTCTATTTCTTCTTCTGTTTTGAGGGAATCGTATTGAGGTACTTGCTCAATTTCCCAAAACTTAGCTAGTTGCTCATTAAGAGACCTATTTGAAACTCTCGACTCGCGCGATTGAATAAAAGCATAATTACAATGTATAGAATTCTTGTGATTGTTTTGACTGGTTGAGATTGGACCGGATAATATCCAGCCTAGTTTGGATTTATGCATAACGGGCTTGTTGGTTCCTAAAGAAATTTGTCGCGGTTCAATTAAAGTCCAAAAAATATCGGCTCCTATTAGTAAATCAATAGGTGCCGAATAATTGAATTTAGGATCTGCGAGTTTTAAATGAGATGGAAGTTGTATTTCTGAAATATCTACTGTCTTATTAGGTAGGTTGGTTGTAATTTGAGGCAGCACTAAACATGAAGTTTCAATATTATAATCGTTACACTTTGAGGCCAACACTATGTTGCAACGATTCAACGNTCATTACGATATGTGTTAGCAACGTAATGATTTTCACATTCTATTTCTTCTTCTGTTTTGAGGGAATCGTATTGAGGTACTTGCTCAATTTCCCAAAACTTAGCTAGTTGCTCATTAAGAGACCTATTTGAAACTCTCGACTCGCGCGATTGAATAAAAGCATAATTACAATGTATAGAATTCTTGTGATTGTTTTGACTGGTTGAGATTGGACCGGATAATATCCAGCCTAGTTTGGATTTATGCATAACGGGCTTGTTGGTTCCTAAAGAAATTTGTCGCGGTTCAATTAAAGTCCAAAAAATATCGGCTCCTATTAGTAAATCAATAGGTGCCGAATAATTGAATTTAGGATCTGCGAGTTTTAAATGAGATGGAAGTTGTATTTCTGAAATATCTACTGTCTTATTAGGTAGGTTGGTTGTAATTTGAGGCAGCACTAAACATGAAGTTTCAATATTATAATCGTTACACTTTGAGGCCAACACTATGTTGCAACGATTCAACGACTTCAAGCATGTGTTTTGATTACCAATCCCTATAATGTTTAATTTAGTCGGTAAAGAACTTAACTGTAATTTCAATTTTAAATTCTCTGTAATAATGGACGACTGACTGCCGCTGTCTAGAAGTGCACGAGCCGTGACATGATGTCTTGTGTTTGGATTGTATATTTCGACCATCGCCATTGAAAGAAGTACATTTGATTTGGAACCCACTGACATACTGACAGCGCTATTGCACGTAGCCTGCTCACCCTCAGACCCCGCTTCGGTTGTCGAGCTTTGTGCTTGAACGTTGGATATATTTGCAGCCTGAGAATTATCCCTATGTAGTAGGGTGTTGTGAAATAATTTGCAAATGTAACAAGGACCTAACCTACATTGTTGTACTGAATACCCCTTGCGTAGGCAGTTAAAACATAGTCTTAACCTCACCACCTCGGCGGTCCTGTCAGCGATTGATTTTGCCAAGAAGGTCGCACAATCATATAAGCGATGATCACCACCGCACAGGACGCATATGGAAGTCGACGAGGAGGAGGATTGGCCAGCTGAAATCACAAATGATCTTGTTTGAGGCCGTTGACCTTTGCTCAAATCGAAGGAATTTAGCGGACGTTTATTAATTGAAGCACGCTCTGTCCTATTCAATTGTATTGATTCCAAAATATTGGCTCGAGCTTTCAGGAAACAAAAAAAATCTTTAAGAGAAGGTGATCTCTTGAAATTGCTCCTGTGCTCCTCCCACTTAAAATTAGTGCTACTATCGAGTTTTGAAGTGACCAGATGTATTACTAGCGTATCCCACGACGCCGTTGGTTCGCCCAGGGTGTTGAGAGCCCGTAAGTTTTTCGAAATGTGATCGATTAAAAATTTTAAATCTTTAGATGAATCGCGAGACACGGGCTGAAGGTTACAGAGCGAGTTTAAATGATTGCTTATCAGTTGCTTTTCGTTGTTGTATCTCTCGCAAAGAAGTTTCCAGGCTTCATCATAATTGGCAGAACTAACTTCGAGATTGCTGATGACGTGAGCAGCCTCTCCTTCAAGATAAGAGTTGAGGTAATGAAATTTATGTACTGATTCAATTCTGTTGTTGCTGTGGATCAATGAAGTAAAAGTGTCTCGAAATTCTAGCCATTTAAAGTAAGTGCCGTCAAAGTTCGCAATTTTTATAGTAGGCAATTTGAAGCCTGATATATGTTGACTTGGGTTTGAACAATTGGAACAAATCTCAGAATTCGCGGGCCTAAAGTCCTCGCGTTGCGTCTGATTAGCCTCCAAAAATAATTGAGTTTTTGCGATAAGTGATGAAAAANTTACCGAATTATTTTTCCGTCTAATCGACATTTTTAAGTCTCGTCAGTGTTCTTATACTCTTTTCTTCTTCTTCTACTTTATTGTCATAGGAAAACTCATTTTAGCTGACTTTAAATCAAAGTAAAGCAATCTTAATCCGGGATGTAGTTATCATCTTATCTGAAAGTAGTGGTCCCGCAGTAGTCGAAATTCGAGTATAATTAATTGAAGTTGTAAGTTTATACACTATTATGATTCTATTTTCAAAGACTATTATACTTCTATACTAATATTATAAAGAGGAAAGATTTGTTTGTTTGTTTGTTTCGAATAGGCTCCGAAACTACTGGACCGATTTGAAAAATTCTTTTTCCATTAGAAGCCGACATTGTCCCTGATGAACATAGGCTACTTTTTTTAAATTTTTTTTATTTTATTTTTTTGGTTTCATGTGTGTTTTAATGTTTCCGAAGCGAAGCGAGGGCGGGTCGCTAGTCTATAATATAATCACAAATTTCGTCAAGAATACACTATAGAAAAATATTAGATATAAAGACAAACAATATTTAAACAATTCTCAATTTGACCACAGACGTCAAAGAACAAAAGTTTCACAATAAATAAATAGTATGCATGCGTGTGTGCGTCAAATACATGGTAGTGTGTGCAATGTTTTTTTTATTGATTTAATGTATTTTTAACCCATAATTTACAAAAAATATTAACATTCTGCACTCCTTCCCTATATTCTCTATAAGTGTGAGAAATTTCGTACTCCTCCGTCAGCGCAATTTTCGTAAAAAGGGGTAGAAAGTTTTTGCGTCACGTATAAATATATAGATTAGTTGATTTAAAAATGACATCTTATTCGTAGTCCTTCGTAGGGCTTCGTAGCTCGTAGACGGCTCTACGAACGTCTACGCAATGCCATCAGTCTTGCTCCCGTTTCATTACGTCTGCCGCGACACAAAATGGCTTTTATGTCTAGTATTTAATATAATTATTTAGTTCACCGTTTGCTTAAATTAGTCTTCGTGGGGTATTATTAATTTGTTTTGTGGGCAGTTTATATTAATGTGGACGTTGAAGTCTTACAGGGGAATGGAGATTGACATTATCAGAGTCCGGCTTGACAAAAGTGATTGAAGCTTCAATTACCTTGGTATAACTAGTATCCTAATCTTTAAAACTGAACGCATGGCGGCTTCGAGATTGAATTAGGTGGGATAGTGGTTTATACATGCTTTTTTGCGTAGTACGATGAATGAGTTCAAGATCCACCTGATGGGCAGTGATTACCTTTAGATAAGAGCCTTTAGACAAGAATTAGAAGTTTTTATAGCATTACGGCTGTAACACCCTCTAGACTAAAATGTACAACTGCCGATTATACTCGTATGGGGTATAGTTTGACATGACCAGATATTACGCTAAATTATATATTTCCGGTTTAATTTATTTATTATTTACGTAAGTACGTACGTACGCTCCGCAGCTGGCGATATCGACGAGTTCAATGTGGCGGTAGGCTTACACCAGGGATCAGCTTTAAGCCCTTACCTGTTCATCCTAATAATGGATTCCCTAACATCGGACATACAAGAAGAGGCGCCTTGGTGTATGCTGTTCGCCGACGACATTGTTCTCGTTGGAGAGGAAGGGCCTGAGGTACAGAGGAGACTGGCAAAATGGAAAGAAAGGTTGGAAAACTTGGGTTTGAAGATCAGACGAACAAAAACCGAGCACATGTTTTGTGATTTTGGTGGTTCTTCAGACTTCACGCCAATCGCCTTAGATGGTGTATCTCTGCCAGTCTGCTCCGACTTCAAGTACCTCGGCTCTATACTCCAGAACGACGGCAACATAGACCGGGACGTCACTAATCGAATAAACGCTGGTTGGATGAAATGGCGACAGGTCTCTGCAACAGCATGCGATCGTAGAATGCCCCTTCAGCTCAAGGGAAAAAGCATGAAAGAGGAGTGCATGCGACAGAGATGCGAATGTTGAGATGGATGTGTGGAGTGACAAGAATGGACAAGATAAAGAATGAGTATATCAGACAGAGGAAGTGTGAAAGTGGCCCCGGTAAGCAACAAATTAAGGAGCGGACGGTTAGCGTGGTATGGACATGTGATGCGTAGAGAGAAGATGCATGTGACTAGGAGATGTATGGAAATGGTAGTGCAAGGTAGAGGGGGAAGAGGTCGATCGAAGAAGACATGGATGGAGTGTGTGAATGACGATATGAGAGAGAGAGGAGTGAGTGTTGAGATGACGGCTGATAGAAGAGAATGGAACAGAAAAATTAGCTGTGCCGACCCTACCTAGTGGGATAAGGTGGGGAAAAAGAAGAATTTATTTATTATTTATTACGCCATTATTTCCCGAGGAAAGCTAATGACTCGTAAACAGCTGTTGTGTACGTATTATTATTACATATTAGAGAATTTGATACTTGGTATTTTAACAACGTAATATTCGGATCGCCCTAAACAAAAACATTGAGCATCGTAAATTCTTTAGGGTTCAAACGGTACACAGCCTTTTGACCGTGTTAATTATCTGGTCAATGGCAAAGATATAACATAAAAAGTCTCTTGTTAATATATTTAAAACGATTGCTAATTAAAATTAATAACGATTGGACCTCACAGGGCTTTCGCTCGACCCTCGCCAGCCGTACCGTTTCGCGGAGAAGGGTTGCCTTACACATACGCTTTTTCACTCGGAATTCTAAGGTCACATTGGGTTGATGTGTTTTTTGCACGGCTTAAACGTATTGTTAATAAATTTTTTGCGATAAAATTTCCGTTCGGATTTTACATTATGTCCAAATGACGCAGATTTCTTGTGCTAGATAGTGTTGAGTCTATAATATGTTAGTTTTTCTGTGTCAAACATGTGCTAGTAGATTTTTTGTTGTGGATTTGAGAAGCAGATGGCATTGGTTTAGCGATGTCAGCGGTTTATCGTTAGCTAGTTCGTTGTTAGCTTCGGGAACATTAAGGTCATTTAGTGTATAAGGCCTATACAAAATACTTTTTTGTTGACAGGTTATATTGTGAGCTCGCGAGAGTAGGAGCTTGATTTTGCCGGGAAGCAATCTGGCGTTTAAGTAGATAGGGTAGGATGGCCAACATAAAAATACAATGTGATTTATTTTATAGATCCAAGGTGCTTGTATTATTGTTCTGATGGCTATATATTTTGGTTATATAACGTGGTACTGTATTATAATATTAAAATATTTCAGTATATTTATTATTATTAATTTAAATTGGACTTACAATTTATTTTTTAATTTACAGTTCAACTTTACTGGTAGCCGGAAACAACTCAATACATTAAATGTAAGGACGTATGCTCACGTGAATCAGAAAAAAATAACGTATTCAAGTGTAAAGTGTATGTATATATATAGAAATAGGCAGGGTGGTGGTACCAACCCGTGCGGACTAACAAGAGGTCCTACCACCAGTGCCCTTGTAGGCAGACGAGCATACGGCCCGCCTGATGGTGAGTGGTTACCGTCGCCCATGGACTTCAGCAATGCCAGGGGCAGAGCCAAGCCGCTGCCTACCGTATTAAGCGAAATACCGCTTAAACCGCATACCCTTTTCCCCGTCGCTATGTTAGAAATACAGTAATGTGTCTCCAAAGTCGCATTGAAGGAAACGCGGCTTCAAATCAACGTGTCAAGTCGCGCACGTATTGTCCATGAACAATGGATGTTGTCCCCTAATCCTTTCGCTCGCGAAGGTGGAAAGCCGCTTTGTTCCATTTAGATCTTTTGTTGCGGACCAACTGTGGAACAAAGGATTGTGACTTGATTGTCTATACAAGGCGTTTTGTTTCAGTTTCAATTTAACACGTTGACTGGGTTGTTGAGCTTAAAAAGCCTCATGCGCAACTGTCCTATGATGCGGCAGTCATATTGAGTCTGTGCTTATATAGAGCATGTGTGATATTATGTAGGGTGATAATTGCACAATAAGACACGATAGTTTGCAACCTGTTTATTGTGGCGACGACTCGACACAACTGTCACTCGACACACTTTTTACTGGTGGTAGGACCTTTTGTGAGTCCGCGCGTGTAGGTACTACCGCCCTGCCTATTTCTGCCGTGAAGCAATAATGCGTTTCGGTTTGAAGGGTGGGACAGCCGTTGTAACTATACTGAGATCTTAGAACTTATACCTCAAGGTGGGTGGCGCATTTACGTTGTAGATGCCTATGGGCTCCAGTAACCACTTAACACCAGGTGGGCTGTGAGCTCGTCCACACACCCAGCAATAAAAAAAAATACTTTCACGAGTTTGAATCTCGATAGCTCTTATCATTACATTATTTCCGACGAATCGAAAACTTCAAAATCAGAGACCCAAGGTAACTGGGAGAAGGGCAGGATAATGATGATGATGATGATAGAATAATATATGTATATCATCCTGTCTTTAGATGAATACAGAGTGCAATTCGTCATAAAATGTTCGTTTAAGTAAATTTTCTGTTTTTTTTTTTTTATTAAGTTTCCCACAACTGGATAAAATCTGCACACATAAACATTGAACTTATTTACATAAAAGATAAAAATATAGTTAACTAATATTAAATTAAGACATAGAAAACAAAAAGAAAAAAAACTGCATATACAAACTAACAAAAAAAACAATAAAAATAAAAAATAAACAGAGGGAAATTCATATTCCGTTATTCGGTATGTATCTTTTTTTGTATGCATGTCTGTTAGTTTTTCATCCGTAACAAATCGGTTGTATTGATGACCTAACTATTAAAAAAATATTGTTCTTCTTTAATTTTTGTAAGTCATTTAGCCAATTGGCAAAAATCTCCTCCAACCTACTCTGTTCTGATCTTTCTCTGGCCACTCTAATCCATGTTATGCCTGCTACCTGACGATGATTCCAATATGTCATATTATGTTACTAATAACTCTCGGCTATAGTTCGCTGTAAGCATGCCTAAATTTA